AAGATGAACGAAGGTCTTAAGGGTTTGGAACAACACGAGGGTGAGTAATTAATGACAGAATTTTCATTTTTGGGTGAACTAACTCTTTAAACATCACAAGTAACCATGAATATCACATTATTAATATTATCTTAATGAAATGTTATAATAAAACTAGGCTATGTACAATTTTTCCCAACATTTTAATTTGATTTCGACTGCTGGGACGCACACAATGGAAGTAAAATTTCCAACTGCAAAAAAATACATTTCACCACTTCATCTTTCATGTTTACTGAATAAACAATGCTATATACTTATTCCTGATAGCATCTGTGTAAGCAGACAGTGTTTGCACAGTGTGGCACCACAAAACTAATTACACTGTATTTGTACTTAAACATCACACTTAGATGCACATAATGAAATTTACTGCTGTTAAAGTCCCCATGAAATCAAAATTCAAGTTTTTTGGGTGTTAGTATCAATATGTTAGTCTTAAGGTTATCTATAAGGCAGTGTGCTCCAAAACAGTGACAAAATTTGCATTTAGAAGATATAAGCATTCAAAGCGTGCAGTTTGTCACTTCCGCCAAAATGGCTCAACGATTTTTTTTGACGTCACATCGTACTTCATCTTCTCATCAAATCTTCTGACCAATCAAATGCTCTCTAGAATCTGAAGCGCCCGCCCCCTGCACTATAAATAGACGCTGAAGCGGCGGCTGAGATCGGTCGCTTGTTCACAGTGTAGTATTTCCTGTACAGTGAATGGTTCGAAGTGCACAATGTAGGTGATAGGTGAACGATTCAGATAGTGTAAATATGCTTTCTATTGGTGCAAATGAGGTCTGGTTTCACATTGTTTCACGCGAACCCCGGCTGCGCACACAGTCTGATCCGGACTTTGGCTCCGGTCCAGAGACGCGATCGCACGGAGCGGATCATATGCGCGAGTCGGCATATATTAAAAACTTTTACAAGTCCACAGCCTCAGCATGATTATGACCACTATTTTGTTTTACTAAGAGTTTCATATTGAATCTAGGGGGTAATCTATTAGACTGTGGCTGTCAAATACAGCTTTACCGAGATCAACAGCTCCCTCTGACCCGTGCAGATATAAACAAAACGCTATTGGCTAATTTAAAAAGGGGGCGGGGCTGCTCGATATGTCCCGCCCTCTCTTCCTGTTTCAGTTGAAATTACGTCACCACATAGAATAATGCTGCGTGTTTCAAGGCACTTCAGGGGACCTTTAAGTTAAAAAAGGGCCTTTTCCTACACACGCAGAAGATATTACCCCCACTGAGGCCTGCTGTCAGAGCAATTCTCTTGCGGAAATATTCTGAATGTGTGAATGTTAGTGTCCTAAAAATATGTTCAGAAGTCATTACATAATTAAAATTGACATCTTCAGGCGTTTTTTAAGATACCACTTCCAGCTTTCAAATGTAACTGCCACAGAAATGCATTTTGGGACAGGTAGGCTAGTCTTAGGGGAATAGTTCACCCAAAAATGAAAATTTGCTGAAAATGTATTCATCCTCCGGCCATCCAAGACGTAGATGAGCTTGTTTGTTCATTGGAACAGATTTGGAGAAATTTAACATTACATCACTTGCTCACCAATGAATCCTCTGCAGTGAATGGGTGCCGTCAGAATGAGCATCGAAACAGCTGATAAAAACATCACAATAATCCACAAGCAATCCACATGACTCCAGAAAAGCTGCATGTTTGTAAGAAACAAACCCACCATTAAGGCGTTTTAACTTTAAACTAGGGCTGTGCAAAAAATCGAATGTGATTTTCATGCTCATCTCGTCAGTAAAGCTGGTTCTGTGATTAGTAGTAAATCTCCAGCACATGCTTTCAGATGGAGCGGCATTTACTACACAGAGCCGTAGATCACTGACAAGCTACGCAAAATCGCGTTCAAAATCGCAGGCGATTCATTGCCGGTTAAAGCTAGGCTTTACTGACAAGATGAGCATGAAAATCGCATTCGATTTTTTGCACAGCCATACTTTAAACCATAACTTCTGGACAAAATGTGTCCATAATTCATAATAATGCTTCCTGCAGTGAAAAAGTCCATCCCCTATTGCTGTCTCACATCAAAATCCACTGACATATTGGTTTAAAACTCCTTTTGCTTGCAAACAGTGCTTAATTTGTGCATATTTCTCTCCTTATTCAGACTAGACACCTTTTTTACTGGAGAAAGCAGTATTACGAATAGAGGACGTCTCATTCTGACGGCACCCATTCACTGCAGAGGATCCATTGGTGAGCAAGTGATATAATGTTACATTTCTCCAAATCTGTTCCAATGAACAAACAAGCTCATCTAAATACTGGGTGGCCTGAGAGTAAATCTTCATTTTTGGCTGAACTATCCCTTTAAATGTACCAAATCAATTTTTCTTAAAACAGGTTCTGAAAAAAAAAATGTAAGAGGTGTTTTCCTGTGCAAACGTTTTGCTGTTGCTCAGGTTTTCAAGACAATGTCAATAAACGACAGCTCAACTTAATCTAGACATCAACATAAAAGCCGACTGACAGTCTCATGTCAATGCCCACAGTGAAATCCATCAAAACAAGTGAAATGAATAATTCTCATTAAATAATAAATAAATAATAAAACTCATAAATGAATAATTCTTATTGAATGTCATTTGCTCACTTAAAACACATCAAACCTCCTGAACTGGTGAAACAGACTATCTTCTGTTACCTGGAAGAGAGTCACTATTTATATCATTCACAATCACAACCACTGCTTCGTTTCACCAACCCAACGCAACCCACATCCGTTCCACAAATTAACTCACATAAAGCTTCTCTTATACAAGTTCAAGACGTATGAACATAAAGAAAGCTTACAGTAAACAGGGTGGAAAAGTAGCCAGTGTAGTCGAAGTGGGGGCAATCGACTTGAAACGAATGGCCAAGGTCAACAGCTATTCATTGATACCACAGATTAGACTCTTGATTTACACTGAACATGACGGTCTATTTACAGACCATCACACATGAGATCAAGCACTGCCCAGGAACAGGACGTTATAAAGATATATGTGGCAAATAAAACACTTCAAAACACACAGGACATTTCTGAGCCTGTTACAACATGGACGTTGTGCCAGTTATTGGTGTTTCTCCATCCTGTAGAGTCAGTTCAGTTTTAACATCAGGGAATTTTGTGTTCTAAGGCAAGCTGCGGTTAGCAATTACTGTTGCGCGCAATTACAGCTAAGGATTTGAACAAACCCTTAACCTTAGGCATTAAAATTTGTCACATATTAAATTGCATGCCACTGTGGACATGAATGAGATGGTATAATTAATAGCCATTAACTGAATCTGTCACAGAAAAAATGTCACTTTGCATCTGAACAGCAATAAATAGTATGCACTAATAATGAAAATTGAACGGCAACTTTGAAGCGAACCAAACGTATACTGACTTTGTTTGAAATGAACCAGATTACTGTCGGACTTTCTGTGGCGGGACAGAAGACTAAACGCATCAATATTACGTTTATAAAACACTGCACACATTAGCAAATTATGCAGTGATCTGCGAAACCCATAGACAGTGATATATGATGCAGAAGAGCCAGTTATTCTTCATAACTGACAATATGACAACTTAAAAACCTCTTTAATGCATTACATTCTGAACTGTGGTTTACAAAGGCTGCATCACCTCGCACTTTTGGGACTCAACCCCAAAACCTTCTCTTTATCACCTCAGCTCTTTAACCACTACACCAAACTACTCCAAAATTAAACCATTTTAAATAACTACACTAATATTCCAAATTCTAATGTAGCTTAATGGTTAAAGGCCTAGGCTGGCAATCCAAAGGTTGTAGGTTTGAACCCCATAAGGTTGATCCTATCGCCACTGTAGTGACTGTACCCTTGACAAAGACACTTAACCTCAGGTTACTCTGTAATACACTTTTAAAGAAGTACTGTGGTTGCACTATGGTAAAGTGATGGTATCACACTATAATGTCATTACATTTTAACATACAGTATCTCACAGAAGTGAGTACATCCCTCACATTTTTGTAAATATTTTATTATATCTTTTCATGTGACAACACTGAAGAAATGACACTTTGCTACAATGTAAAGTACTGAGTATACAGCTTGTATAACAGTGTAAATTTGCTGTCCCCTCAAAATAACTCAACACACAGCCATTAATGTATAAACCGCTGGCCACAAAAGTGAGTACACCCTAAGTGAAAATGTCCAAATTGGGCCCAAAATGTCAATATTTTGTGCGCCCACCATTATTTTCCAGCACTGCATTAACCCTCTTGGGCATGGAGTTCACCAGAGCTTCACAGGTTGCCGCTGGAGTCCTCTTCCACTCCTCCATGATGACATCACCGAATGGAGCTAAATTATTATCATATTATGATAATTATTTAGTTCCATGGAAATACCTATTACCATTGTATTTACACGAGATAACTAAAAAAAACTAACCTGTTTTTTGACAGTACATGTCAAAAACATGCTAATAGAAGAGTACCTCTTTGTATATGTACAAAAAAGTACAACTTGTTTTGATACATTTACCATGGCATTCTAATGGTATAGCCTGATCTAAAAAGCACTGACATGTAACATGGTTTGGACATAATATCATGTACTACCATGACTTTAAAACAGGTACCATTGTAGTACCATGGTATTCTTGAAAGTACCTTGGAGTACAATGTCAGTACCACGGTCTACATCAAAGTACGACTGTATTACCATCACTTTAAGACAGAAGAGCCACATTATGTTGCAGTAAGGCTTATTTGCACATTTATATTCAAATCAAAGATTAAACACCTAATGCGTTTGTGATCGATAGATTTGAGTGTATAAATAACACAAATAAAGACGTATAACACATATGCGCGTGTTCCGCAGTGGACTGCAACGCACCAAACGCGCCCTGCTTTCATTTCGTACGCTTTTAGTTGGTAAACCAAACAAACACTAACCTGATTAAAGATTTAAGGTGGTGATATGAATGTTAAAGGCTGTAGAAAAGCCGGTGTTTGCGCTGTGATCGGCGTCGGTGTGGTTCCAGGCACCTGACAACGGTCGGTGTGTTTCGTTTCGCTGTCTGATCACATTGAACACAAAGATCGTCGAGACGCACAGGAGACCTCAGGGAGCGGGGCGATTTTACCTATGTGACTGAAAAGCGTAAAATCCCCACACAGCGCTCTCGAAGGGTCCCTAACTTTGTAGATCGTCACGTGTGTGTGTGTGTGTGTGTGTGTGTGTGTGTGTTTAATTAGTTAAATTGTTTTATCAATTGATACAAATAACATAACTAATCTTAATTTTACTAAATGTTTTGGACGCCAAAACTAAATGAGAAATGTTTTAAAGGGGTCATATGATGTTGCTAAAAAGAACATTATTTTGTGTATTTGGTGTAATGAAATGTGTTTATGCGGTTTAAAGTTCAAAAAACACATTATTTTCCACATAACGTACATTATTGGTTCTCTTCTATGCCCCGCCTTTCTGAAACGCGTCGATTTTTACAAAGCTCATTGGTCTGAAAAGCGAGGTGTGCTCTGATTGGCCAGCTATCCAGTGCATTGTGATTGGCCGAATACCTCAAGCGTGTGACGGAAATGTTATGCCCCTTACCATATTGTGATGCCTTGTCCCTGCGACCAGACAAAAACATTAAAACCCATTATAAACGAGGCATTTGTTGCATCCAGTGGGGACATAATTACGGATTATAATAACTTCTACTGTCTTTTTACGCGTTGCGTTGCATCGCGCCGCGCCGCGCCGCATAAACATAAAACCATGTCTGCATTTGTGATCGGAGAAATGACAAACAACAAGTGCTACTCTACACTGCTCAAAACTAGCGTTTGAATAGTCAGTGGCAAATTCTTTAAATATGAAAAATGTACTTACAGTCTGTGAGTCAGAACAGCCGGCACTGTAGTCTACTCTACCAGGATCAGGAGACAGTCCTCCATAAAATGCGCTGCACACATCTGAATGTTTGGTTTAAAGTGTTCTGGAACAGTGTTGTAAATACAACTTAACCACTGATTTCTAGTCGTGTCCTCTTTTGGAAGACCAAACAAAGTAGTTTCGCTTTCACAATGAAACACAGCGTCACACACGGCGGGCTAGAGTGAGCGGAGGCGGGCGGGCGGGCTTGCGGCAACCACATGTGACGACCCCGGGCTGGACTCCGTTTCGTCCACGGTGAAAGCCGATCTGGCGATCGACAGCGCGAAGTTGATGTATTTCCTCAGCGACCAGCACGGATCAGCTCCAGGCATGACGAAGCGGATATCGTCCTCTTTTGGAAGACCAAACAAAGTAGTTTTGCTTTCACAATGAAACACACAGTGTCTTTACGACATGGCGGCGGCGGCAACAACAATACTACAGCGAGAATAAAAGTTACGCCTTCTTTCTTTGTGTGAACATTTGGGCACGTTATGCAAATCTTCCCACATCGTGATGTAGACATGTGGGGGCGTGTTAGAACGAGCCGTTTTAGGTAGGCGTGGTTGACTCTTAACTTTCATAAAGAATATCTCTTTGGATTTGAGACTTTAGTCTTTGCAACTTTACAGATCTTCTTTATGCACCAAGAACTTGTAACACTCCAAAGAGAAAGGAAAAATCAAGTGACTGAGAAAAAGCCTCAAAATGATCAATTCACAATAATAAAAGCGTTATTCAGGCGAATTTTTAACACTATATCGATTGTGTCATGAACCGTTCCTAAGCTTACATTAGAAAAGTGGCTGATTTGTGAATGTAAGTTTCATTTGAGTCTAATCTCTGCAATGAATAACTCTTTAAAAGTGAATTAACCCGTGTTGTCGAGTTCAACTCACTAGTCCGGTTTCAAGTTCAACGGTCAACCGCCCACTTGAGAGGAAGATTATCAGAGAATATGACGTAGGCCTAGATATCGGTCTGTTCCTCACACAAAGCTATCGTATGACTTTTGAAAACTTGAAATATAGCTATAAGGACTGCTTTTATGTTGGTTTTGTGGACGTGACATCTTCAGTCACCATTCATTGTCGTTCAAAGACATTCTACAGAATTTGTCCTTTTGTATTCCGCAAAATAAAGAAAGTTATACGGACCTGTAACTATGTATGGGTGAGTAAACCTTAACAGAATGATTTTGAGGTGAACTATCCATTTAATGTTGATTTTGACAGATTTTGGGGTAGATTACGAAGTGTTTGTGTATTCTGCCATCTATTGGACTTTAAATGAACTTGCAGTTCAAAAGCTGATTTGGTTTGTCCTTTAAATATGATGATTAAAGTCAATCTTGTGAAACCAATAAAATATAACGAGAGCAAAATTCGCTTTAAAAGTAGCTATAACACCATGGGATTTGTTAACATTCATTACTCATACCAAAACCACAAGGAACTTTCTTCAGTGGAATGTCACGTTTTGGTTGAAGGCAGTGAGTAAACCATTAATGAATATGTATTTTGGAGTGAAACAAACTTTGGAATCCGTTTAGGACTGAATTTTGGGCTTAAAATGACGCCAGTTTGAACGTATGTTCATGCTTTGACAGAAAATGCAAGCTGAAGTGCTGCTTCTTTGAGAAAAATTCAAGTGAACAGAAGTGCTTTTGAAAAATAAAATCTATTCAAAAAGAACATTGATAGGCTACTATGAAAAGTACATAATGGTCCAAGAATTCAGTCTTTTCTTCACAAATACAGTGGATCTCATTCTTGTTTCTTTTCCTGCAGAGTGAGAAAATCAGCATTGAAATAATAAAATAAAACAATAAAAAAAACATGAAAATGCTGCTCTTTTGTAGTTCAGGTGTAATGGAGATTTCATGTAAGTATCCACTTCATTTGAGATGTTTCTCCTAAAATTTATTTGGGGAACAAATTAGATTAAATCAGTTATTAGTAGTTCATAGTGAGATCTCTGACTTTTAGTTGTAGACTCTGGTACCTTGACAAATCATGAGATCTTTCTGAAACTACAGAACTCTACAAAAATTAATAATAATAATTTAAAAACATATTCAAAAATAACATTGATACAAGTACTCAATGGTCCAAAAATTCAGTCTTTTCTTCACAATACATAGTGGATGTCCAATGTTCCTTGATGAATGTCATAAGACAAGGACCAAATTTACAGACTGTAGAAATAAAAGACATTTGCAGAAAAATCACTGAATGAAACTGAGCTCTCATTCTTTCTCTCTATTCATCGAATTCTATTCCTCTCTCACTTCCTTTCAGCATGAAGAAACACTCTTATATATTAATCTCCCTCCTACTCTTAACAGGTAACCGTCTTGACAAGTTCTGCGAAAGCATAATTACACATTTCACTGGAAATTACAACCCCATTCACGGACAGCCCATCATTCTGTGCGCAGTGTGCTTAGAGGGCGTCTCAGAACAGATCCTTAACATGAATCCATTACTTAAACAACTTTGCACAAAGCTGTATGTCTTCTTTTTTCATGTATGTTACAATCAGATATGCAAAACATGGAAATTGCCTTTAAACTCTGAAACTCTGAAAGTCTCCTCCTGAATATTTGGTAGTTTCTGATCAGTGTGCATGTCTTCAAAGTGTGTCTGTGCATTTCAGATAAGCATCCTGCGTTGTATACAGTAAAGGACTGAAGGAACTGGGCCATTTTTGGTGGGTTTGTTGCTATGGAAATGGACAGTGAGCACTTGGGTGATTCTAAGTCAAGCAGATTGTGCACACTAGAGATCTCATAAAATGCGAATAAAATTTTCCTGTGGGTCATCTTAAAGTTTGAATATCTTCAGTTTTTCCTAAATGTAAACCAGTTCTATTTAATTTAATAGATTATTCACATTTGAGGGCTAAAATTACATTGAAGTCAATCTCTCCTCCCGGGCTTTCTCTTGGCACACTGAACACCACTGAGGAGCATTCTATTGCTCATAGGTTGCTGTTTTAGTGCTCAGGAGACTTGAAGAAGTTCTCTGTAAGTATCAGCTTTGCTTTATGCATAAAAGTCCTCAGGAAAAATAAAATTGTTGACGTACAGTATGAGTGGAAAGCTTTAAAATTGACATGGACAACAGATCAGATGATTCACTCTTGGAAGAACTTCATGCAATGTTTGAGAAGCAACTGAGATATTAAAGATACCTCATTCATGTTTTGCTCCCCACAAGAGTGTGAAAATCAGCACCGAATTAGGAATAAAGAATGAAAACGTTATTGGTCAGAAGCTGCTCTTTTGTTGCTCAGGAGATATAATTGAGATCTCATTTAAGTATCCACTTCATTTTGAGATGTTTCTTCTGAAAATCCTTTTTGGAGAAACAAAAATAGATCAAATCAGTTTTTATGAGTTCATAGTGAGATCTCCCACTTTTGACTGCAGACATTGGTACTCTGACAAGTCTGAGCACAGTTTGAGATTTTTCTGAAACACTAGAGGTGGGTTTTCTTAGAAGAAACATCTAAGACGCATGAAACCTATGTGGAGTTCTCAGTTTTCTCTCATTTCAATCTATGAAAAGCAACTGAGATATTAAAGAGATCATTCATGTTTTTGTTCCCTGCTGAGTGAGAAAATCAGCATCAAATTAGGAATAAAACAGAAAATGTTATTGCTCAGAAGCTGCTCTTTTGTAGCTTATGAGATATCCGTTTTGTTTTAGATGTTTCTACTAAAATTCCTTTGGAGAAATAGAAATAGATCACGTTAATTGATGGGAAATGTGTTCATGAGTTCCTAGCGAGATCTCTGACTTTTGATTGCAGACTTTGGTACCTTGACCAATCTTGAGATTTTTCTGACACTCTACAGGTGTTATTCTTAAGAGAAACATCCAAGAAGCAGAAAACTTACACTAAATTCTCTATTTGCCCCTCCATTGAATCTCGTTGCAGTTGAAAAGCAACAACGGAAATGTTAAAGAGATTGCATTCTTGTTTCTTTTCCTGCAGAATGAGAAAATCAGCATCAAATTAATAATTTAAAAAAACATGAAAATGCTGCTCAGAAGCTGCTCTTTTGTAGTTCAGGTGTAATGGAGATTTCCACTTCATTTGAGATGTTTCTCCTAAAATGTCTTTAAGAAACAAAATGAGATTAAATCAGTTATTAGTAG